AATTTCGCTTTAAGACAAAATTTGTTCTGAATTTCTGAAATTAAAATTCATTTTGATATTTTCTGTGGGGCATAAAGACTGAAAATTATACGAAAAACTTTTTTCAAGAATAAATCATTTTGTTTTTTTAAGACATACATAATTGACATAATTACATAATGTTTTATTATTATTTATTGGGAAAAAAAAGTAACAAATGCTTTAATGCTCAATAATATAAAAAAATGCCCACTAAATGAAAGTTATATGGTGAAACCAACATGCAGAAAAAAAAACATTTATTCCATACAATTGCAGACCCTCATGGCTCTGTGTCAAAGTCAGTCTCTTAAGTTATAAGATTATTATTATTGTTTTTATAACAAATAGTGTCACTCTCCAAACTCCAAAATCTAATGATAACTTTTTTTTTGTTGTTGTTAAATATATCAAATATCATATGAATGATATTTTAGGAAATAAACTAAAAAATTATATTTCTAAATTAATAATTTACTTTTTTGGTCGAAAAACTACTTTGAAAAATATATAAAACAATATTTCTTAATTAAACCTAATGATATATATATATATATATAAAATTTGATTAAAATGTATAAACATTTGAAAACAAAGTTCTTAAAGCTATATGAGACCTATTTGAATAAATTTTTTTTTTAAAGATCTTGGCACATGTGCTTTAATCTAGAATGTTTAAATATTAATTTTTCTGTATTGCTTTATTGCATTTAAATGTTCAGTTATTGTTGTTATAAGAAAAATGTTATTAAACCTGTTATACTGTATTATGACAGCACTTTTTAAAACTAAATTTCAACATCGTGATAATACCGTACACCGTGATAAAAGCATGATCAATTAACCGCAACATGAAAATTTGATACCGGCATATCCCTACTTTATAACTCGCAATTCTGACTTTATAATATCATGCAATTCTAAGAAAAAAATTCAGAATTGTGAATTTATATCTCGCATGACTGACTTTATAACTCGCAATTGTGAGTTTATAATATCATGCAATTCTAAGAAAAAAAGCCAGAATTGCGAGTTTATATCTCACAATTCTGTGAAAAAAGTCAGAATTGTGAGATAAAAAGTCGCAATAACCTTTTTTTTATTTTTTATTCAGTGGCGGAAACGGGCTTCCATACAAATCTCAATGGAAACACAATGGAAAAAAAGACATTTCTGTCATCATTTACTCCCCCTCCAGTTGTTCTTGGAGGTCTTTGTGAGCTTCTTATACTGAACACAAAAGAAGATATTTTGAAGAATGTTGGTAACTGAACAGTTGATGGTCTGCATTGATTTCCACAGTGGTGAAAACAACATTATTCAAAATATCTTCTGTGCTGTTCAGCCAAAGAAAGAAATCCATAAAGATTTCGAACAACTTGACAGTGAGAAAATGATGACTTTTAACAGTATTGAATGCACTACAAACCTGGCATTCCTCACATTGCAAACAACAGGCATAACAGGCAAACAACTATCTCTGCTTTAATCAGCCTTACCAAATCTGACAAGGGCCTTGTTTATTACACCCAACTGTTGCAAGAATCTGTTTGTGGTACGCATTAAAGCACATGTGAAAAACGTAAGGAAGTAGGAGTTTAGTCTTTAAAGATTCTGCACTTAAACTGACAGCCGGCTACAACTGATCTGGAACCCAAGATTCACATCAAGACCACAAAAACAATGCCTGGTGTCAAAAATCATTTTGTGAGAAAATATACTTTTGCCACTGACAAGTCTAGGAAAAAAAGTAGTTGATGTATTTTACACAGTTATCAACAGGAAAGTTCAGACTTGATGTCGTATGTACATTTTTGCTTGGCAGTTGTAAATGTAAATGTCTTATGACCAGAAGTGTTTATAAAGCCTAGTATCATATTTGAAACTTGAATTTCTAAACCGTCTACATTATCCACATGATCAAAACTTTGCAGAAAATGCTGTTGCACACAATCTTCTACATGCCTTCTGTTGTCTGATTGATAGTTTATACTTTTTTAGCAAGTAAAAGGCCTTTTAGTATAGGCTAATTCTAAAAACATCCAATCAAGTAAACATAAGATCCATAATCAGGTTAAAATATAAGTATCAAATACGATACATCAGGATTTTGGGAAAAGTTTATTTGTACATCTCCAAATCATTATTATATAACATTGTATTATATGTTTTGTCCCCCATAATTAAAACTACAAAGTTTTGATCATAAAACAAAACATTTAAATATCATCTTAACAAGACATATTATTAGAAGATATGGAGTGACAACTAATATTTTACTAATACTGTATATAAATAAATATCATCATAATATAAATATCAGTAACTGCACCAAATATTTGCTCAGTATGAGTCTCTAAATAAAATTGCTCTATTTTCCTCATCAATTGTACACTTCATATTCTCCAATATCATACTATATGTATCATATCTGATGAATCAAGCTTTTATGGTCATACAAGTTTGATTTACCAGATATGATACTAAACATACTGTAAAACACATATGCAAACTTTTTTAATATTTTGTCTAAAGCTTCAATAAACTGTTACACTTAAAGCAATCATTGTAAGACCTCACAAGGTATACTTTTGTTTGGCCCTTTAAAAGATTTTGTCTCTAAAAGCATAATACAGTTACAAATACCACATTTGGAGCATACGATTTATGCTCAGTATCATAAACCGTTGCCATGTCAGACCAATGTGTACATAGAATTAAATCTTGTTTCGCTGACAGTAATTTTACAGTAAAACGAAGGAAATTAATAATGGAAGAAGCCAAACCAGTTTGTGAAAATGATGTGTTGTCTATGTGTTACTTAACATTATGATCATGCCTAACTGAGTCAACAAATACTGTCTTGAACAGTACACAGACTAAGTGACTATACCTGCCATGCCATACAAGATCCTGGAGAGTCGTGAAATGTAATACAGGTTCAAGCACGTACAGGTATGGATTAGGTAAAACCAAAACTTTTGAAATAACGATGTTGTGAACAACGCAAATGATGGTGATTCGTAACCGAATTGTTCTTTTGAGTCGGATCTTTGTAGTGAATCGGTTGTACCGGTTCACAAAACCGGTCTAAACGACTCGCTAATTAATAAAAACAACCCCAGTGAAACAGTATATGTGCACAAACTTTGCACAAAGTCACTTGTGTATTCATTAAAAACGTAATAAGAACGGTAAGTTAAATAACAAATAGGTCAACTTGATTATTCCGGCTGTTAAGACGTTAGCAAAGCTTACCTGTCGGTCGATGTGAGATCCTGTCCCAAACAACATTAATGTTAAGCAGTAACCAGCTGCTCTTTCGCCGATGACCCGCTGTCTGACTGACCACCGAAAAACTGGTAACTAGTCGTAAGAAAGCTTACATTGGTCCGCTGTCATAATGGCTGGTTATTGCCAACTCTGTAAACTTATTCCCAACAGTTCACAGCGTGAAACGAAAGTACGAAAGGCAAAGATTCACAAAACCGGATGTCTTGTTGCTAATAACATTGCTGCCCAGTGTTTGAGGGCGGTAATCTTCCAGAGGTGGACCACTGGGTTTTAGCGAACCCAGTTCTACGAAATCCCGGAAATAACCGAGTCGGTACAAAATGGAGGCACGAGGCCGAAAAAATCCGATTGCATCCGGAAGGCAAGACCTGCAACTACACGGCTAACCTTTTAGCGTCACGCTGCAGTGGTAATCAGATTGTAGCATCTGCCAAAACTCAACAGTAGTTTATTGTAACTAACCTCGTTGTTTTATTTATTTATTTCACGACACTGGTGACTGCAGGAACTTTATGGTAGCCTATTTCTAATAACTTATAACTGTTTCTAATAATTTGTCAAATTAACCATAAAGTCAAAACTAATCATATTTTCAACAAGTAATTTTGAACAACAAAAGGTCTATAAGTCGATTTGCTTTTGAAACGAATTTTAAAACGGTTTCGCTCATTTAGACCCAAGCCTTTAGGCTACATACTTGAGTTTCAGAGTTTTAACGCTTTTTGACCAATTAATTTCCATGACTTTAGCCTACAAGTATTTTTAACATCACTTATATAAATTAGAATTATCCATTGGTATCTCAGGTAAATGACGTACAGTGAAGGAGAGAGAGAACAGGACTAACACATGACACTGGGGTTCCAACACATATGCCCACAATCACAACAACACCTGATAAAGCTCCACCCTCCAGGCCACACCTCCAAAAACAGACAAGTCAGCAGCACACAAGAATCTGTACAGTGCAAAATGTGTTCAGTCTGCAAATAGATGACAGACACAAGACCAATCACAATTTAGAATGCAAATAAGTCCATGGGAAATTTTGAATCGTACATTTCTTTGCTCTAATTTGCTATCTTTTAAGTATGAATCTTTTGAGATTTTCATGTCAAACAATAGCCTAATTTTATGGTCAATTCTTAAACACATGGGCTAGAATGTTTATAAAGAATACCAACACTGCTGTCCACTTTCTGTATGCAAAACAGTTTTGCCAGGTTGGCCTTTAAATTATCATGACTGACTACTCTTACATTATTAAAAATAAAGGTGCTTAAAATGTTCTTCACAGCGATGCCATAGAAGAACCATTTTTGGTTCCACAAAGAATCATTCAGTCAACGGTTCTTTAAGGAACCATCTCTTTCTTACCTTTTTATAATCTGAAGAACCTTCTTTCGCCACAAAGAACCTTTTGTGCAACAGAAAGGTTCTGCAGATGTTAAAGGTTCTTTATGGAACCATTGAACCTTCTTTCGCCACAAAGAACCTTTTGTGCAACAGAAAGGTTCTGCAGATGTTAAAGGTTCTTTATGGAACCATTTAGGGAAAAAAAAGGTTCTTCTATGGCATCGTGAAGCACCTTTATTTTTAAGAGTGTATATGCAGATTTTGTCATAATGAGCAAATACTCTTTATAGCAAGGTTTTTTTTTAAGTTTTCAAAATAACCACTTCAGAAAATGGTACACTGTAATGTATATTTTAATTGCATAACATTTGAAGTATTCTACAACAACTGCTTTTGTATCTTGAAGCAACAATGTCAGTAGGAATATTTCACAAATTATTTATATACATCCATCAAAACAAATCCCCCTACGTGTACCTTATTGTATCAATGAGCACTAAAAATGTGCAAAAACTAAACAAAAAGTTGGCAAGAAACGAGATATTATCCAAACAAACTGTTTTCCAGACAAAACTTTTTACATGTGTATATTTCATCCACACTGTATTTATACATTACTGTTGCATTTTACATAATTTACAAAATATATATGATTTACAATATTTAATCAGGCAAGATCCACATAATATTGTCACATACATATAGTACATAAACTCTTTAAAAAAGTTATAACCTAATGATCTATGATACTGTAAGTGCAAGTTTATGCTAACATTTCAATAACATCTCCTTTAGGGAAAGGCTTGTTCATCAGTTTTAAGTTTGCTCAAGCACATTTACAGTATCTACTCTAAGTTTTTATAGTTTTAAATATGCTATTCGTTCTTATCAGCCCTGTAAACATGATTGCTAAGGACAAGCTCATTCTTGTCTCCCACATCCCTTTCTTTTAATGATCCTACATTAGTTTAAGAACGTTAAATTTCGACCCTTTCAAAGTTCTTTCTGGAACCTCCAGATCCATCGCATGTATTTGCAGATGTCTCATTGTCTGTCTGCGACTATGGTCAATTTGCCCGTTGCCCCATCCATCTCTTCTAGGCATCCCTTTGTAAGTGTAGCATATATCATCAGTAGTGTAATAACGTCTAGGAACCATCTTCCTATAATAACCTGCATTATCACCTGATCTTTGCATGGTATTCATTCCCATATTTGAATTTCTCACAGCTACATTTTCTCTACTTCTTGAAACTTGAAATTTAGGCACTGATATATTGTTCCAGTTGCCATCCATATCAAAGCTACTTGCTTTTGTTTTATGATGTCCTGACCTGAATGCCCCAGACATATCATTGTAGTAAACATCTGAAGATGTTGGACCCACTCCAGAGATTCTGGTCTGGCCAGAGACATGTTTTTGCATTGTAGCCCACTGAGCTTTTCCTGAAACTTCCATGTCTCTGTTCAAGTCATAATAGGGGTCCTGCATGTTAAATTCTGGGGCACTATATTTCTGATGAGTCGGTATTCTGACGTCTCTTGAGGGAGCATCAAGACCATACATTATGGTTGCCTTTGTTTTACCTCTTGGGACTGCAAAGCTGTTAGCATGCATTTGTGTATAGGTACCAAAATCAACATCAGACCTCAGCCCATGAAAATCAGGGCTATCAATTCCTCCTTTAATTTGGGGGGTTTTAAGATTCATCTTTGGAGAGCTGAATTTAACATCTGTTCCTTCTGGCGTGTTTCCTGAGAGTTTCATTTTCCCAGAAGGAGAATCAATGTCAAAGTCTGGTGCGTTCACATCAAAACTGGGTTTCTTGAAATTTGGTCCTTTTATTTTGCCTTTATGGAAATCAACATTCATATCTGGGGCTGTGATATCTGGCTTATGACCTCTGATACTGAAGTCTGGGGAATGAAATTCTGTCTTAATCTTCGGAGTCGAGAGGTCCATTTTAGGTGTCTTTAGATCATAGTCAGGTGTCTTTATTTTGGGTGCCGAGAAACCAATATCAGGCATCTTAAAAGCAGGCATTTTCATTTGTCCAGATCGCATGTCCATGTCAGGAAGTGTAAGGTCTGTTCTTGGACCTTTAAGATCAACATTAGGACCATGAATGTTAATATCAGGACGATTAATCCCAGCATTTAATTTGGGAGCTGATGCGCTCAGATTAAGGTCGGGCTGATCAATGTCAGCATCCATATTCATATGTGGCCCTTTCAAACCTGACAGGCCAAAACTGGGCATCTTTAACTTTGGCATATTCATTTTACCCGAAGGGCCATTAAAATCAATATCAGGTGATTTGATATCTAGGTTTGGGCCTTTCAAATCAGACCGAGGCAGAGTCAGATCCATGTTTGGGGTATCGATTCCTCCCTTTATTTTTGGGCTTTTGAGATTCAGCTTTGGAGATCTGACTTTAAGATCAGGTCCTTCTGGCTTGCTGTCTGAGAAGCCCAGCTTTGGCAGTTTAAATTTGCTTGAAGGTGCATCAGTGTCAAAGTCTGGAGTGTTCCAATCAAGATTGGGTTTCTTGAAATTTGGTTCTTTCATTTTACCTTTAGGTAAATCAACATTCAAGTCTGGGGTTGTGATATCTGACTTATGACCTCTGATGTTGAGGTCTGGTGAATCAAAGTCTGCCTTAAACTCTGGAGCTGACAGATACATTTTAGGGGTATTCAGATCATAGCCCGATGTTTTGAGTTTGGGTCCTGAGGAATCAACATCAGGCATCTTGAGGGTGGGCATTTTCAGTTTTCCAGAAGGCATGTCCATGTCTGGAAATGCAAGGTTGGTTTTTGCACTCTTGAAATCAGCATTAGGTCCATGAATGTCAAAATCAGGACCATTAATCCCTGCATTTAGTTTAGGAGTTGATGCATTCAAATTAAGGTCGGGCTGATCAATGTCAGCATCCATGTTCATATGTGGCCCTTTCAAACCTGACAAGCCAAAACTGGGCATCTTTAACTTTGGCATATTCAATTTACCTGAAGGGCCATTAACATCAATATCAGGTGTATTGATATCTAAGTTTGGGCCTTTCAAATCAGTTTGAGGCAGAGTCAGATCCATGTCTGGGGTATTGATTCCTCCCTTCATTTTGGGGCTTTTGAGATTCAGATCTGGAGCTTTTGGCTTGCTACCCGAGAAGCCGATTTTTGGCAGCTTAAATTTACCTGAAGGGGCATTTATGTCAAGGTCAGGTGCATTCATGTCAAGATTGGGTGTCTTTAAGTCTGGTGTTGTAAATTTACCTTTAGGAAAATCAAGATTCATGTCTGGCCCTGTGATATCTGGCTTATGACCTTCAATGTTCAGGTCTGGGGAATCAAAGTCGGCCTTAAACTTTGGAGCTGACAGATCCATTTCAGGGGTCTTCAAATCATATTCAGGCGTCTTTATTTTTGGCCCTGAGACACCAAACTTGGGCATCTTTAAAGTGGGCATTTTCATTTTTCCAGAAGGCTTGTCAATGTCTGGAAGAGTAAGGTCTGTTTTGGGGCCTTTAAAATCAGCATTGGGTCCATTTAAGTCAATATCAGGACCACTTAACACTGCATTTAGTTTAGGAGCTGATGCATTCAAGTTAAGGTCAGGCTTATTAATGTCAGCATCCACATTCATATTTGGCCCTTTCATACCTGACAGGCCAAAACTGGGCATCTTTAACTTTGGCATATTCAATTTACCTGATGGGCCATTAATATCAACATCAGGTGATTTGAAATCTAGGTTTGGGCCTTTCCAATCAGTTTGAGGCAGAGTCAAGTCCATGTCTGGGGCATCTATTCCTCCCTTCATTTTGGGGCTTTTGAAATTCAGCTTTGGATATTTGATTTTAAGATCTGGGCCTTTTGGCTTACTACCTGAAAACCCAATTTTTGGCAGCTTAAATTTACCTGAAGGGGCATTCATGTCAAGATTGGGTGTCTTTAAGTCTGGTGCTGTAAATTTACCTTTAGGGAAATCAAGATTCATGTCTGGACCTGTGATATCTGTTTTATGACCTTCAATGTTCAGGTCTGGGGAATCAAAGTCGGCCTTAAACTTTGGAGCTGACAGATCCATTTCAGGGGTCTTCAAATCATAGTCAGGCGTCTTTATTTTTGGCCCTGAAACACCAAACTTGGGCATCTTTAAAGTGGGCATTTTCATTTTTCCAGAAGGCTTGTCAATGTCTGGAAGAGTAAGGTCTGTTTTTGGGTCTTTGAGATCAACATTAGGTCCATGTACATCAATATCAGGACTATTTATTCCTGCATTTAGTTTGGGAGTTGATGTGCTCAGATTGAGGTCGGGCTGATCAATATCAGCATCCACATTCATACGTGGTCCTTTCAAACCTGACAGGCCAAAACTGGGCATCTTCAGCTTTGGCATATTAAATTTACCTGAAGGGCCATTAACATCAATATCAATATCAGGTGAATTGATATCTAGGTTCGGGCCTTTTAAATCAGTTTGAGGCAGATTCAGATCCATGTCTGGGGCATCTATTCCTCCCCTCATTTTGGGGCTTTTGAGATTCATCTTTGGAGATTTGATTTTAAGATCTGGCCCTTTTGGCTTACTACCGGAAAACCCAAATTTTGGCAGCTTCAATTTACCTGAAGGGGCATTGATGTCGAAGTCAGGTGCATTCATGTCAAGATTGGGTGCCTTTAAGTCTGGTGCTTTAAATTTACCTTTAGGGAAATCAAGATTAATGTCTGGACCTGTGATATCTGGCTTATGACCTTTAATGTTGAGGTCTGGGGAATCAAAGTCTGCCTTAAACTTTGGAGCTGACAGATCCATTTCAGGGGTCTTTAGATCATAGTCAGGCATCTTTACTTTTGGTCCTGAGACACCAAACTTAGGCATCTTTAAATTGGGCATTTTCATTTTTCCAGAAGGCTTGTCAATATCTGGAAAAGTAAGGTCTGTTCTCGGACCTTTGAGATCAACATTAGGTCCATGTACATCAATATCAGGACTGTTTAACCCTGCATGTAGTTTGGGAGTTGATGCGCTCAAATTAAGGTCGGGCTGATCAGTGTCAGCATTCACATTCATATTTGGCCCTTTTAAACCTGACAGGCCAAAACTGGGCATCTTTAGATTTGGCATATTAAATTTACCTGAAGGGCCATTAATATCAATATCAGGTGTTTTGGCATCTAGGTTTAGGCCTTTCAAATCAGTTTGAGGCAGAGTCAGATCCATGTCTGGGGTATCGATTCCTCCCTTTATTTTGGGGATTTTGACATTTAGGTTTGGAGATTTGATTTTAAGATTTGGCCCTTCTGCTTTTTTACCAGAGATGTCAAATTTTGGCAGCTTCAGTTTACCCGAAGGAGCATTTATGTCGAGGTCAGGTGCATTCATGTTAATATTGGGTGTTTTCAAATTTGGTCCTTGAATTTTACCTTTAGGGAAATCAACATTCACGTCAGGTGCCGTGATATCTGGTGAATTAAAATCTGCCTTAAACTTTGGGGCCGAAAGATCCATGTCTGGAGTCGTCAGATCATAGTCAGGCTTTTTCATTTTAGGTCCTGAGAGACCAAAATCAGGCATCTTGAAAGTTGGCCTTTTCATTTTTCCAGATGGCATGTCCATGTCTGGAAGCGTAAGATCTGTTTTTGGACCTTTGAGATCAACATTAGGTCCATGAATGTCAATATCAGGACTATTTATCCCTGCATTTAGTTTGGGAGTTGATGCACTCAGATTGAGGTCTGGCTTATCAATGTCAGCATCCATGTTCATATGTGGCCCCTTCAATCCTGACAGGCCAAAACTGGGCATCTTTAACTTTGGCATATTCAATTTACCTGATTGGCCATTAACATCGACATCAGGTGATTTGATATCTAGGTTCGGGCCTTTCACATCAGTTTGAGGCAGAGTCAGGTCCATGTCATCGATTCCTCCTTTAATTTTGGGGCTTTTGAGATTCAGGTCTGGAGATTTGATTTTAAGATCAGTTTCTTCTGGCTTGCTACCAGAGAAGCCAACTTTTGGCAGTTTAAGGTTACCAGAAGGAACATTTATGCCGAGATCAGGTGCATTTAAGTCAAGATTGGGTTTCTTGAAATTTGGTCCTTTATATGTACCTTCAGGAATATCAACATCCATGTCAGGTCCTGTGATATCTGGCTTATGACCTCTGATGTTGATGTCTGGTGAATCAAAGTCTGTCTTAAATTTGGGAGCGGACAGATCATAGTCAGGTGTTTTTATTTTGGGTCCTGACAGGTCAAAATTAGGCATGCTGAAAGTGGGCGTTTTCAGTTTTCCAGATGACATTTCCATGTCTGGAAGGTCTGTTTTTAGACCTTTGAAATCAGCCTTTGGTCCATCAATTTGTATATCAGAACCATTAAAACCTGCAGCTACTTCAGGGTATGCCAGTTTTGACCCCTTCATACTTCCATCATAACTGATGTCTGTATTCTTGTTTCCAGAGAGGCTAAACTTTGGCAGTTTAAATTTTGGCTTCTTGACATTAACCGATGGTACATCCATATCCATATCAGAAGAATTAAGCACTGCTTTTGGGCCTTTAAAATGTCCTTTTGTGAGGTGCATCACAGGAGATCCTTGGGTATTTGTCAGTGTAAGATTTGAATCTGGTGCATTAATACCAACATCTATTTTTGGATCTGTATATGTTCCACCACGCATGTTGATTTCCCTATCAACACTGGTCAAGTTCTTTGTGGAATGATGCGATGGAACATCTCTTGAAATATTGGTTTTGATCTTTGCTGATCTCAGCAGGTCAGATCCTTGTACTAACATTTCAGAGTCATATTCACCTGTAGAATCCTTGGCATCATAATGGACCATGAATGGCCCCACTTGATTGTCAAATTCTGTTTCATATGGAGTGAGACGCATTCGATCGGCATTCTCAAGTAAAGCCGACACATTTACTTGACCTCTTTTGCGGTCAAGTGTTTGGGTTGTCACTGGCCCATTGTGTATGCCATGTCTGTTTTCCTTAACAGTTTTATTTCCTTTCATGAATTTCCTGACTTTAGCATTGAAGAGCTTGTCATATGAATCTTTCCACACCTGTTGAAACATTTGAATCGTAAATTAATTTGTTTGGGGGTTTCATGAGATAAAAAAATGTCAATGTGATGTACACAGACCTCATTTGGAGCTTTGATATCCAGGCTTTCCAAGCTCTTGCTGGATTTCATACCATGCTTCGTTATCCCCTTGTCATTATCAATCAACTTTAAAATGTCCACAGCTTCATTCTTCTTTTGTTCATTCCTCTTTAGTTCAAACTGACCACTGGCACCCACAATTTCATCATCTTAAATTGAAATGTAATGTAGCGTGAAATTTAGTCTATTATTAAACGGTTATCCTTAAATTTCCACCATATCAGTGTTAATGTCAAGCCATTTTCTCCACAGTAAAAGTGAACCAGCAATCTAAAGCTCAATTAATATACAATGACATGTAAAAAAAATCATATTCAAACAGTCACGAAACTGTACCTTCATGCAAGTGCAGGTCTGTGTATTCCAAACCCTCTACAGACACATTGTCATCTTCAAGTAGCAGGCTGTCAGAGAGGCTTCTTCGAAGAGCCTGCAAGTTACAAGATAATATCATGGTGTTTTTTTTTTCTTCATATTTCTTGAAATTAAATGCATGCATAGAAAAAAATTTCATTATTAAATTATTAAAATGTTAAATTATTAAAATTATGAAATTAAAGATTTTTTGTGATAAACATAAACCTCTGCCAACTGCACTACTAATATTTAATTAATAATTTATTTAGCATTTATTCCTAATAATGGCAAGCACATGAACTTAAAAATATATTTGATAGATCACACAAAATGCGTACACAAAATATAGTTCAGATACAAATTGGATAAAATAAAGATATCATACCATTTCACTAGTATATATTTACAGTGAAGAAAATCCTCCAAATCTCAAACCTGTTGATGCAAAAGAAATGATTCAGCAGCAGCAAGACACCAACGTTTCAGTGCTAATTATTATTGACACATGTAATTGTGAACATCATTGAACAACTATGAACATCACTGAATGAAAAAAAGCCCTTGCCTCAAAATGAAGCAAGACTGAGCAAACAACACTAACTTCTTTTAAATTTACTTTACACTTTGCCAGTTGGCACAAGGGCATCTATCTTGGTGTGCAATTCATCCTTAAAGACGTTAATGCTTAACGAAACATCTGCATTTATCCCACTGGCAGACTGATGAAACTGAGGTATTCAAGGAACTGTTCAGGGATAGTGCAACGAGGGCGTTAGGAACAGGTTAGGCCAGACAAAGGAAACTGAACAGACCTCACCTTGTTAACCACACCCTCTGTATTAAACATGCGAAATCGTAGAGGTACCAGATGCACCCATGATCATCTGTAAGGGCACATATTTTGATAATCTGCTCAACTATTTATTAAAATGATTTAATTGTCTCATTTCATTGAAACAGGTTTCAAAAACATCTAATTACTAACTATCATCTACAGTATATGATCTATTAACCTGTATATTTACAGTAAACACAAATTACAGGTAGAGGACCTAAAAGTGGGCTTCAGAAACATTCTTTTTGATGACAGAGTAATAGACAGTAACAGTATTTAGAAAAAGTGGTCCCCAAAGAAATTATAATGTTAATGTACAAATTCACAACTTTAAATATCTTATAACTGTCCCTGTGCAATACTTTAATACCCAACTTAAGTGCAGTTTGTAATATTAATACATTAAACCACTCTTAAATGACAGTAAAAACACAATTAAATCAGCATAACCTGTGCGAGTGCTGTATAGTCATACATAACAAAAACAGCTGTACACCTGTGCTTGCTAAACAACCAAACTTTACTTTAAGTACCATAGGGGCTGTTTTACGCAACAGAGTTCAGTCCAAAGTACTGTTGTAAATTTGAACAGCAAAGAAAAACCTTACCTTGTATCCAGTGAGCTTTTAAATCCTTGTTCAGTGTCAGCAGTGATAATGTGCCATGCTGAAGACAAGTTTTCACTGGATGAGACCGTGTTTACCTCTGTTCTCTTCTCACTGTTGATGGTATTCTCACTGCGGCAAGTAATACACTTGAAGAGTGGACCAACTGGTTTAACCAGGCCAAACGAATACCTCATAAAGCTTCAGCATCACTGCCTGTTCTGCACTGGAGGCAGGGTGACATAACAAAAACAAACCTCTCCCTAATTCTAGATTGATGGGAGTAAATCAAAAGGAATGGTTATAAAATAGAGTTAAACCCATATGACTCATACAAGTTGGAAAACGTCCACCTGTACAAGGCGTAGTCACTGCCACTCAGGTTGTTCTGGGTGGAGACGGCTTATTACAAGCGTTCACACCTCTAATGAAACCAATTAGGCATTGTTAATTCTCGGAAGAGAGAATGCATTCAAACCACAGAAATAAATACTAGAACAATAAATATTAGCGGGACTCTCACATTTGACCTGTTTGAAGAGAGAAAAAGTACTTTGAGTAGATCCTCTTGAAGACCAATAAATACAAATCTGAAAACAGACCAATAACTTAAAAAAAAACACATTTACTTCTAAAACAATTCCATACAAATGAGACCGTTTCTAAAACAACAAACAATTTTCCCTGAGTTTTACATTGTTTTACATTGTATAACATGATAAACTGCAGGTATTTGCACATATGCAAGTGGCCATGCATAGGACTCCAACTACTCTACATTCTTAGCTGGAAATACAGTATTTTAAACTCGATCTTCCCCACCACGCAAGAGTTTCTGGAAAACAGAGTCTTCTCTTTGGCACAGAGCAGCAGGGCTGTCAAACTCCACCACCTTCCCAGCATGCATCACCAGCACTCTGTCAGAGTCCATAATTGTATTCAGTCTGTGGGATAAGAAAGACTGGTTGGGTTTGTATGGCAACAGAATTGTTCTTGAAAGGTGTTTTAACTTAACATGCTACGTTAATTCAAAAAGTAGTTACTACCAGGTTTTTTTTATTTCTATCAACCAAACAACAAGACACCCAAAAACTAAATAAACCCTGAAAACGAAATTAATAATATGAATTTATTAACCTTTCAAAGCAGTGATGAACTCGCCATTTTCTTTGGCAGCTTCTCTTAAAACTAATCATGCACTTACTAGTAATGTTAATGTTACCTAAAATGCTTGACTGTTCAGCACAAAGGTTAACAGAGATAATTATAGTATTTTAAGGGGATTAACAATCATAAAATAGTTGCAAATATACTTTTACAATGTGAAAACTATCCGCTTTGTTTTATTTAAGAAATCCCTCACAGAACTGTGCACTTTGCAGTGTTACTGTGTTTAGAATTGTTTTTTTAAAAGAAAACCAGTTTGCATCGCTATAAAGGGATTTTTCCCTCTTTATTTTCATTCCATACTCAAAGTTCAATTAAAAGAAAAATCAAATATAAATCATATGCAAGTATACAAGCAATTTGATACCTGTGGGCGATGGTAAGAACAGTTTTATCTTTGAATTTTTCTCTGATAGTTTTCTGCAGAAGCATGTCAGTCTTATGGTCGACGCTTGCTGTGGCCTCATCAATGCATAAAATCTATTGAAACATAAATAACATTAAAGTACAAAGTTAAGATTGTTTGTTTGACATGGTTTATGTTGTACTTTAATTCTACATTATATATACATTAGCCTCTGTAAGAAGAGCACGGGCAAGACACAGCAGCTGCCTCTGGCCCACAGACAGAGACTTTCCCCTCTCTCCAACCTCCGAATCCAGGCCACCTGTAATGGGAGACACAGACAAAGCAAAAAAAAAAAAAAGAATATTAAAGACAGCATTTTCTCATGCCCTAGATAAATCCTATCAAGTAAGACACAGCAATCAAAAGTGTTTGACTCTAACCGATCCTCTGCACTACATCTCCCAGGTGGCATTGCTCAAGGGCATCTAGCAACCGGAAGTCTGGATGACGGCCATGGGGATCAAGGTTCTCTCGCACTGTGCTGGAGAACAGGAAGGGATCCTGAGGGATGATGGCCAGCCTTGATCTATAGAGGGCAACCCAAACATAAAAAATTCTTATGATTTGCAGAGACCATATTAAAAACACAATGAACACTTTTTACCTCACAAGTCTTTGTCGTAAGAAATATTTGCAGTTCTTCTGCTTACTAGTGATATTTTTTGACATAATGTGAAATGTTTAAAGGGGTTTGGAGTGTTGCAAGCTGTTCGTGAATAGATAAGATCCCTAAAGTTGCAAAGACTAAAGTCTCAAACCCAAAGAGATATTCTTTATAAAAGTTAAGACTCGTCCACGCCCCCCTAAAATGCCTCGTTTAAACACGCCCCCACATGTCTATGTCACTGTGTGGGAAGATTTGCATAACACCGCCCAAATATTTACGCAAAGAAAGAAGGCGTAACTTTATTCTCGCTGTTGCCGCCACCGCCATGTTGTGAAGACGCTGTGTGTTTCGTTGTGAAAGCGAAACTACTTTGTTTGGTCTTCGCCAATCACAACGCATTGGATAGCTGGCCAATCAGAGCACACCTCGCTTTTCAGACCGCTTTTCAGGCGGGGCATAGAGGAGAAACAATAATGTACAGTATGTGGAAAATAATGTGTTTTTTTAACCTTAAACAGCATAAACACATTTCATTACACCAAATACACAAAATAATGTTCTTTTTTAGCAACGTCATATGACCCCTTTAAAGGTTTGTGGTTTGTATTTTTTTGTTTTGTTTTTAAGTCTCTTATGCTGACCAAGGCTGCATTTATTTGATCAAAAATACAGTAAAAAAAACGTAATATTCCGAAATACAGTTTATTTTATTTTTTTATTTTAATATATTTTACAATGTAATTTATTCCTGTGATGGCACAGCTCAATTTTCAGCATCATTACTCCAGTCTTCAGTGCCGCATGATCCTTCAGAAATCATTCTAAAATGGTGCTCAAGAAATATTTCTGTTTATTATCAATGTTGAAAACAGTTGTGCTGCTTAATATTTTTGTGGAAACTGTGATAATTTTTTCAGGATTCTATAAGAAATAGAAAGTTCAATAGAACAGCATTTATTTGAAAAAGATATCTTCTGTAACATTATAAATGTCTTTACCATCTCTTTTGAAAATTTTAATGCATCCTTGCTGAATAATAATAATAATAAAAAAAAACACATTGATCTTACGAAGAAAATCATCAAACATACAGTGACTTAACCCTTACCGCAGGTTACTAAGTCTAACCGAGCTGATGTCGACTCCATCCAGCAGGATTTGACCCTGGTTCAGCTCCACCATACGGAAAACGGCGAGGAACAATGAGGATTTCCCCGAGCCTGTACGCCCTACAATGCCCACCCTCTCACCAGGTAATACCTCCAGGCTGACCCCATCAAGAGCGTTAGGCAAGCCCGGCCGGTACACCAACACAGCGCCCACAAACTCAACCCGGCCCTTTTCAGGCCACGATTCTAGAACCTGCAGATGTAGAGTTTCATGATAAGGTTTTGTGTTACACTTTAATGACATTCTGAATAATATACAAGGTCTCACAACCTGGGGTTTGCTATAGAAATACAAGCAATACTTCAGATTTTGAAATAAATAAATAGGCCATTAGGCCATCCAAGATGTTTCTTCAAAATAACACATTTGGAGAAATTTTACATTGCATCATTTGCTCACCAAAGGATCCTCTGCAGGGAATGGGTGCCGTCAGAATGAGAGTACAAAAACATCACAATAATCTACAAGTAATCCACAAGCTGCGTGTTTGTCATAATCAAATCCATCATTAAGATGTTTTTAACTTCAACTGGAGAAAGCAATATTATGGATATGCTTTTTGCTTCACAAGACATTCATTGATGGACTGGAGTGGTGTGGATTACTTGTGGATTATTGTTATTTTTTTCTTAGCTGTTTGAACTCTCATTCTGACGGCACCCATTCACTGCAGAGGATCCATTGGTGAGCAAGTGATGCAATGCTACATTTCTCCAAATCTGTTCCAATGAAGAAACAAACTCATCTACATCTTGGACGGCCTGAGGGTAAGTACATTTTCAGCAAATTTTAAATTTTGTGTGAGCTATTCCTTTAAAATATTCTTCCAAAAAAGGTTGTGAAACTTTAATCACACTTGGCCCTGATTCAGTTTTTGGGGGTAAATATATCACTCCTCTAACCTCAGTGCTGGCTTCTTGAGGCTCCTGCGGGATGTTGGTGGAATACTCCTCTGTACGCTCTATGCTCACCAACTGCATCTCTGTCTGCGCAAAGCTGAAAATCAGGCCTGACAGCAGATTGGTGATGGACAGTGCATAGGACAGAGACAGACCCACCAGCCCTGACAGAACAGAGAAGAGATTTCAGCACAGTTTTAACACAAACTGTAAACCATTTTGAAGGCCTTACGGCTGAACTGGACGATGATCTTCTAAAACTGGACAATAGTGCTGCAGTATAGTTGGGTTTCGTAAATGTTCCATTATAGACCAATAAAGAACATGTGAATCTGTCTGCACAAGACCGTAATAGACATGGTTTTTCAAATGATTTCAGATGAGATGTTGCTTTGAAAATTAGTTAAGATACAGAAATAAGAGTTACCAATCCGGCACAGACCTATTATTTGAATTTATAATTTGCCCAATAGTTAACATTCTCAATGCTCTGTTGACTGTAGCTGTCTGACATGAAGCTAAAGATTCTGGTAAAGAGCACCTGCTAAATGCCTTACATTGAATTTACACTAATCTTATTAAGAGGCTAACCTGGGTCGATGGATTTGAGCTGATGCTGGATCACAGCGATCAAACTGATGCCGGTTACTACAGTGACACCGATCATCTGCAGCCGAATGTCCAGCCACTGCATGGCAGCATTACTGCTAAAGAGACAGCGCTGATTCTGTTCCAGACGCCTCTCATTCTCCTCCTCAAATCTGCTCTCAAACACACAAAAATACAGTTCTATTCAGCATTGCAAGCACTGTCAGGCAATTATCAAACTTCAGGTTTAGGGTTGAAAAAAGGTGGAAAATTTCCAGTAGATTTCGGAAACATTCCAGAAATTTTGGAAACTTTCCAGGATTTTTTTTTTGAATCTTCCAGGGATTGTTGGAAAGTTTCCGGAAATTTACCAGAAATGTTCCACCCCTTTGCAACCCTATTCAGGTTACATTCAACATTTATCTCAGTGTCATCAAGTAGGTGTTAATTAATATTGAGG